CCGTAGATCGTAGAAGCCGTTGTGAAAGACCCTAATTCCGCGTTCTTGATCACTTTATCAGACCCGCTGCCCGGTAATCCGCGCCGTCCTGCGAAGGATAACCGCAATAACCTCGGGGCACGCCGTCTCCACGCCTGTCGGGTGCCGCCCTCGGGTTCGTTTGCCCGAGATGGATTGTCTTCCCCGCTCTCCGCTGCGGAGATGATTCTAGTAATAAGCTAGAATTAGGTGTTAACCTTCCGTTGGTCGTCGGTTTTTGATGTTGATTGATCGGGTTATGCAGATAGTCTATGAGTTGTAGTCTGTACAGTATGGTGATCTGCTATTTGAGGATCATTGCACATACATGCATTGCACTGTTGGTCACGACGAGGGATTTATCATTGGTGCATTGTCATACCAAAATAAAGCGCCCCATATTTCTCTGCCTCTAATCACACACCGTGAAACAAGGCTCAAAAATAGCCATGGCCATGCTTTCCATATACGGCTCTTTCGAGTTTGTCTAATGTAACTATTTAACCTAATATAACAACTGCCCCTGTCATTCCCATGTTCAATGACTTCGTTAAACAACCAATGGAAACCTATATACAGACGCATCCAAAATTAACCAAGGTCAAAATAAAAACTCGCTGAATGGCTCATAATGGCTTAAACACGCTCAACATGCTTGCCGTCAAACGTAAAGAGGAAATGCTCGTTATATGCTCATATCACGTGTCCACCATAACAACGGCAATGCCAACTGGGATATAAAACTGATGCTCTCAGCCCGAAACCGACCAAGAAAAAGAAGGAGTCCCATCGCTCATTTCGCGGGAACGCGCTCATAGAATACAATGTATGCTTGTTCGTTCTGCAGTCGGTCTTTGTTTCGCAGATCGCGGGGATTGAAATCGACAGTTCGCTCATCATCGAATCTCCGCCAACACTGGCGCGCTCCGTCTCGCACCAAAGAGATGTAATGCCCGCTGCTCATAGATGATCCAATATGGCGTAGCACACCATAGGCATCATACGTAAACGGGGGTACAGTCGCTAGGGTAGTGTCGTGTGGCATAGTAGCCTTCGAATCACCATTCGAATCCGGGATTGGCGGTGAATAAACAAAGTCATCCATCCGCAGACCATGTAAAGGAAATTCAATCGGAGTGTGAATCTTTCGGGCGCTTTGGGTTTTCGACGCCGAGAATCTCTTGAAATGAATCACTAAAATTTGCGGAGCCCGTGTAATGATGATCTGCTTCGTTGCAACCCTTTCGCATTTGCAGTAAGGACACTTCCACACCTCGTCGCCACTCAACATCTCTTCCTTACAATAACTGCGCAAACATTGATAGATGTCACCAGTACCGGACGGCGGAATTTCAACGCTAATGCTGTAGAAAGCCTCGTATGTGGTGGATGTCCGCTTGCAGGTTGTACAACGCAGCCGACTAGCATGTTGACCAGCAAAAAGCGAAGAAATGAAGGACTCTTCCCGATGACAATACCGATCCCATTCAATCTTTGAGACTTTGGCAACAGGCATCCTCTCTCGCTGCATCTCCTCTTCAAATGTCAGCGGCCTTAAAGGGCTTCTTTGCCAATTGATGTTTAAATCCTCGTGTAGACAATCAACCGCAAAGTCAAAGAACTCTTTGGCATCCTGCTGCCGATCGATGGCCCATTCCTGGTTTAGCCTTCCACAGAAGTTACGGAACGAAGTAGGAACAATAACTTCCACGTCACCCTTCCACAATGACCTTATGAGATTGGCGAAAAGTCCCGGCATGACTCCCTGCGAGCCTTTCCAATTCTTCTGCACATAGTAACGGAATCGGTTATCAACAAAAAATCTACTCAACATCATCGTCGCGTTCAAGCATTGTATCGTCGAGTTCATATAGCAGGTTACACCAAAATTGGCAAGACCGGTCCTCGGTAACTTGGCGCGATATATTGAACTTGGAGTGTAAAGAGCAGTCTTGGTAGCAGAATTCTGCCGCGCCAATGTAGGTTGAATTTGCCGGCCATCGGTAACACCGCTATAACTTGGGCGTGGAACTGCAGGTGGAGGTCGCGAGGGAGCGACCGGGACGGGAGCAGCATAGTTAGGCGTAGGTGGTACTGGTGGTCGGGCATGTGGTGTCACCATTGACTCCTGGATAGCATGGGGCTCCGGGAAGCGCCGTAGGAAGTCCTCATAGGTATGCACGAATGGCGTAGGAGGCTCATCCATTTCTTGTCCCTCGGGTTCCTCCGTCATTGGCTCCTCTTCGATATATGTCGTAGTGTCAATTTCTTCATTCTTTGACTTTTCCATCCATGCGGTGAGCTCATCTGGATTCAAGGGCTTATATTCGCGTAACCGTCTCTTCCTCACTTCCAAGCTAGAGTTAGCGCTCGCCATCGTAGGAACTCTTCCAAGAGGCCGTCCGGGTCTCATGACCGGACGCTTTGTTTGGAGAGAACCCAGGACAGTAGCCGTGGAGGATGTGGCAAGGGATTGTTGCCCAAGGAGATCGATCCAGGCGTCGAGACCACCTAGCAAAAGAGCGGGAGGACGACCATCCTTCAAAGGTTTATAGGCATTGAACTCGTATAGAGTATCATAGAGAGCCCTAAGATGTGGCGCTGTTGTTCCAACAGGGGATCCGGCGAGGTAGCTGACCGAATCGGTGGATTGGTCATAGTAGACTATCATGTCAAACTCGTTTCTTTTCTCGAATAGGGACTGTTCGTGCTCAGGGGACACCACCAAACGCTCCTCAAGCTCCTCCGCCGACACGTTTTCTTTCAGTGCCACCGGTTCAATGCAGATGATAGATTTCGCGTATACATGCCCACTATCATATTGATCCCGCGGACGCACGTCGATCAATAACACGTTATATCTTCGGAGATAGTCGAGTAGGTCCTGGGCGCTGATTGCAGTGCTGTGTGGCAAATCGGCAGTGTTACTTCTATCTTCCTTCACCTGGTGGATTCCATTCGGGGTCCGCGATCTGTAAGGATTGTCGTCGAAGCCGTTACGGCTTGGGCTGCTCCGGGATGAATTAGCGAGATGGGAGTATCGCGGGTTGACTGGGCGGGAGCTCTCGGTTGAGGTCCTAGGCGGGTTTGAAGGCGGTTGAGATGGGACTGTCCAGATTGGACTATAAGCCGGATCTGGTGCACGAGGAAGCGACGTATTGAGGGGGACTTTAGGAGGCAGGACGGGGCCATCTTGTGATGACCCCATACTACGGGGTCCTAGAGGTCGCCGTGAGGGTGAAGCAAGGTTTGGATTAGACGGCGACCCTTGAGGCATGTAAGACAACGGCCGTCTAGGAATATCGCCATTATAACCCTGCGCAGGGATAGGAGTACTTTGACCATTCATCGTCGAGAATGAATCATTCGTAGCGGGCGGTGATGCTCGTAGTTTGGCGAAACGCTGGGCCAGCATATCTTCTGCAGGTGCCGAGTATCTATTCGGTCTCTCCTGTAGACCCAACGACCGTTGAAATTCTGACGGACTAGGCATCCGTGCTGACTTATCACCTTGTTCGGTTTGACGACCTCTTGGGCTCGGGCTTCGAAGCGTACCAGCAGGCAATAGCTCTGAAGTAGGTCTGTAGTAATTGTGCTCGGTTCCAGTCGTAGGCTGTACATTGCTTCTAAGGTTGTCTTCCACGATTTGGTGCTTGATATCGTCCATAGTCCCTTGCTTTGTCCGCACAGCCTATGGTCTTGCGGTCAATCAAAATTGCATAAAACAATGTGAATCAAAAGTTGCTGTAACCGATTGAATAAACACGACTGGAAACCATACCATCATCAAATTTGCGAACTGCTTGTACCAGTCCGAGCGCTGGCTAGCAGTGATTCGATATTCTGGGTGGTGAGGTATGATGTTGATAGTAATCTCGGAAGCACGAAGGTACTGCACGTAAGCTTTGTCCGGTTGGTCACTATCAGCAAATCTCCTGGCATTTTCTATTGCGTCTTGGGCTCTGCTGAGAAGGACGTTGAGCTGTAGAGAGTTAGCGATCTTACTCGGGTATGTCAAAGGACCTTGGGGGGACATACTGATGAATTATCATTCACATCCAGGGCCGCTGCCTGGTCTTGAAGGTCCTTGATATTAGGAAATCGCGGAGATTGATAACCGGCTGGAGTGGCATGGTTGCTGCTCGAAAGCGACTCTGGTCTCCTAATTTGCCCCCCTGGGTGACTGATATTTTCCCACGGCGCAAAGCCCGGTGGAGAGGGCAAAGCGGCTGCATCTGAGGACATTATACAACGGTTGGTAAAAGCATTTCAATCAATATTGTACATAACCAAGAGCGCTTCAAAAAGCTCGGCGGGGAAGCGTCGAGGAAATCGGTCGGTCTTCGGAGGCGGTAACTAGCCCTGAGACACGTTTGGGCAATTATCGGGAACAGCAACGGACGTCAGGCACAAAACGAGGGAAAGGATGCGTTAAAGAGCGGATGAGATATCAAAGAAAACTTGTACAGCTGATGATTAGAGATAAAGGAAAGAGGGAGATCCTCAGAAGGCAGACAGATTGCGGGATGTTTCTGGGGTAAAAACTGTAAGTTACACCTGACAACATCAGAAGGATAAGAAGGATAAGGCGGCACAATAACGGTATCGATACTCACCGCCCGCGTCTATGACGCCACATGCGTATGCTTAAGAGTTGAGTCAGCGCAGGCCTTACCTAACGAAGCTTAGCCGTCACTTACTCCGTTAGGCAAGTCGGTACCTCAGTCAATAGGTATCGATCGATCTGCCTGGAGCTTGTATCAACTCCTCTCTCTCTTCCCCTCCCAGACCTGGTATTTCTTCATAACAACAACTGGAAGACCGAGATAACCCAGATTTATCCTGTCGCCTTCGCAAAACAACGCTTACGATCACCATTTCCTCCTTCCCGTCATTCAACGCCGCTACCCAACGTCATAGCTGCTCGTCGCTTGACTATCCTTCGACACCAATCGCGCCCCTCTGATATTACTACCGTCGCCATGGCGGGCTGGTTCTCTTCATCCTCTCCCATTGATGATCAGGTGGAGAAGGCCACCTCATCTTCTTTGTATGTTAAATAGCGCTGTTTCCATCATCCCTAGGATTCATTGTCAGATGGCAAAGCCGACCGAATCCCGATTCTAACCACTACACTAGGGAGGATATTGCCCTCAACTTAGAAGTTTCAGACCTCATTCGATCAAAGAGTGTTCAACCTAAAGATGCGATGAGGTCTTTGAAACGACGACTGGAAAATAAAAACCCCAATGTGCAGTTAGCGACACTGAAGGTTAGTTGCCCGCCACTACCTCGGAGGCGCCCATTCGCTTTCCCTGTGTACTGACGTGTCTTATTAGTTGACAGATACATGCGTCAAGAATGGTGGAACACATTTCCTCGCCGAAATCGCTTCTCGCGAGTTCATGGACAACCTCGTCTCCCTTCTGAAAGCGGATGGTTCTCCGCTTAACACAGAGGTGAAAGAGAAAATGTTGGAACTGATCCAAGACTGGGCGATGGCAGCCCAGGGCCGTATGGACCTGAGTTATGTTGGGGAAACATATCGCAAGTTACAAGACGAGGGTTTCCGATTTCCGCCAAAGACTCAAATCAGCGGGAGTATGCTTGAGAGTAGCGCGGTAAGTGTGACCTGATCTTCAGCTACACCGGCCTTGAGTTTACTAACATTAGATGCTTCATGAAGCCCCCGGAATGGATCGACTCAGATGTCTGTATGCGCTGCCGTACGCCGTTCAGTTTTATGAATCGCAAACACCACTGCCGGAATTGCGGAAACGTCTTCGACGCTCAATGTTCTAGCAAAAGCCTTCCTCTACCTCACCTGGGAATATTACAGCCTGTACGAGTTGATGATGGGTGTTACGCAAAATTAACCTCGAAACCATTCACACCCTCTGGATTGTCGGACCGATCCGCTTTTAAGAATAACTCTATCACAAAGTCTACCGTTATGGAACCGCGTACGGCGCGGGCGGAGGGTGGTTTTGATGATGACCTACGTCGGGCGTTGCAGATGAGTTTAGAGGAGGCGCAGGGCAGAGGATCTACTGGCTACGTCCCACAGCCGAAGGTTACCCAAGAGCCGCCTCAGGCATCTAGTCAATCCAGGATCGAGGAGGAGGAGGATGCAGATCTAAAGGCCGCTATTGAGGCTTCGCTGCGCGACATGGAACAACACAAGCAAAAACACGCTGCCGCTCTGAAAAACACCCCTACTACCGAACCTTCCACATCTCGAGACGCACCGGGCGCGACATCGTTACCCAAGAATCCTTATGAGCTGAGCCCTGTGGAGGTGGAGAATATTCACCTCTTTTCCACTCTTGTTGACCGATTACAACACCAGCCACCGGGTACAATTCTGCGCGAGCCGCAGATTCAGGAGTTGTACGAGAGTATCGGCACCCTTCGACCCAAATTGGCCCGAAGCTATGGTGAGACTATGAGCAAACATGGTATGTTCTTCTTCAGATTTTGAGAATAGTGGTATTGACCATGGACGTATAGATACTCTTCTTGATCTACACGCTAAACTATCGACGGTTGTCCGGTATTACGATCGCATGCTGGAGGAGCGTCTCTCAAGTGCATATTCGCAGCACTCACTAGGTTATGGGACCGTTCCCAGCGGCCCGCGGTATCCTAATGTGTACCCCCCGATGCCGCAACATGCTTCCGAAGGGAAGAGTGGGGTTGAGAACTTCTATTATGGGAATACGGGCGCGGAGAAGCCACCAGTTTCTGGGACCCCATATACCCAGCAGCAACCAGAGGGGGAAGGGCTTGAGAGGACTGGAATGCGCAGCGGTGCCATGAGTCCCGGCATGTACTCACAGCCCCCTCCGGCCATGCCGCAAAATCTACCCTGGCATGGAAAGGCACAGGCTGCGTCTCCCCAGATCTCAGCTGCCAATACACCTTACCCTCAAAGCCCCTCTGCGTATCCTGCCCCAGGCGCACCGACACATTTCTATACGACCTCCAACCAGCCAGAACAAGATGTGAATCCTTATCAACCTCCTCGACAGAGTGAGGTGGACACCTCTTATATGCCGTCGCCTGTGACACGGCGCGATTCCTTGTATCAACCAGCTGCACATTCCAATGTTTCAGCACCGAGCGTACCAGAGCAGCCACCGTCAGCCGAGCAAATGGCGTACTTACATCTGTCAGAGTCCCACCCTATGCAACCCGGAAGCCAGCCTACACTCCACCACCAGCCCACCGACCCTGCAGCCCAGTCTTATTACTACCAACAACAACCTCCCCCAGCGCACCCAGCCACTGCGTACTCCCAGGGGCAACCGACGTATCATGGGGCGTATCCTGTTAATGATGCCTCCCCTGTAGGCGGAACTGCCCCTCCTACACAATATCAACAACCACCGCCATCCCGACCCGCAGTTGAAGAGAGCTTGATTGAGCTGTAAGACATGGCGAGTTTTTGGCTTTTGTGTGACGAGAAATGGACTTTTATATTTAATTTGCTATAAATGAACTTCCCTGTTGTTGATCATCATGATACCAGTTGTTTTGGTTGTTAGCAGAACGCAAAATTGCATCTCAGCCCTTGATGAATTCTTCCGACTTTCACTTGATCATGCATTTGTATAGGTCATTCAAGACAGGCAATAGCACGCAGATCAATGGTCTGCATGTACACTAGTCGAAAAGAGCATTAGTCCGCTTGTAGTCGATGAGAATGCGGGGAAAGCTTGGTTCTCTAACCTGATTTATGGAAAATTCCTATATTTGAAGGTACATACACCATTTCATACTTGCTTCTGGCAAGATAACCCCCACGTCGCACCCCACGTCGCTTTTTCCGGGATGGTAATCGGATATTCAAGTAGCCTTCCAGGTCTCCAACGGAGATGACTTGGTTGTTGGTCCGATAGTCCATGCCTTCGAAAACAGGATTGCAAGATGCGGTTGACTCGTGCTGAAGTAGAGAAACACAATAACAAAGAATCCTGCTGGGTTACAATACATGGCTCCGTTTACGATGTGACTGGTTGGCCTCCAAATTTGATTTCAATATAGACTATCTCTGGTTCTAATACTCTGTAGATTTTGTGGACGCTCACCCCGGAGGGCCCAATGTCATTCTCCGCTGTGCTGGGAAGGATGCAACAAAGGACTTCGACTCAGTGCATGAGTTAGAGATCCTAACACAGTCTTTGGCTCCTTCGGCGCTTCGCGGACACATTGAGCCGGGTACACTGGAGAAATCGAATGACATCCACGAGATGAATTCACCAAACAAGGATGCAAGTCTGCCTCCTCCGCTGAGCAGCTTGCTTAATCTTCATGATTTCGAAATCGTCGCCCAGAAGCACCTCCCCCCTAATGCTTGGGCTTATTATGCCTCCGGAGCCGAGGACGAGATCAGCAAGCGACAAAATTCCAAGGCATTCCAGAAAGTCTCTCTTCGACCGCGCATCCTTCGCAGCATTCCGACTGTAGATACAACGACTAATATCCTGGGCAAGCAAGTTTCATTGCCAGTTTACATGAGCGCTGTTGGCATTGCAAAGCTCGCCCACCCAGATGGAGAGCGCGCCCTAGCAGCCGCAGCTGGGAAAGAAGGATTGGCACAAGTGCTTGCCAATGGGGCCAACAATGTTATTGAGAGTGTCATGGATGCAAGAACAAGTCCGGAGCAGCCTATCTTCCAGCAGCTGTACGTTAATCGTGACATTACAAAGTCTGAAGATGTGGTTCGGCGTGCGGAACGCGCTGGTGTCAGTGCCATCTGGATCACAGTCGACTCTCCAGTTGTAGGGAAGAGGGAGATGGATGAACGACTCAATCTTCAGGTTGAGGTACGAATAGTATCATCCAAGATAGTCGTATTCGACTAACAATGATTCTACCAGGCGAGAGACGACCCATCCAGAAAAGGGCAAGGCGTTGCCAAAACAATGGCCAGCTTCATCTCCCCATTTATCGACTGGGATATTCTTTCGTGGTTGCGGGGCCTCACCAAACTACCTATAGTTATCAAGGGGATTCAATGCGTTGAGGATGCGGTACGGGCATATCACAGTGGAGTGCAGGGGATTGTTCTCTCTAACCATGGAGGACGATCGCAAGATACGTATGTCGAAATTCAACAATGAACATACATTGATGAAGACAACTGCTAACGATAACAGCGCCCAGGCACCCCTCCTCACACATCTTGAGATTCGACGATATGCTCCGTTTCTCATTGACAGCAAAATGCAAATCTTCATTGACGGCGGTATTCGACGAGGCACCGATGTGTTGAAAGCAGTGGCTTTGGGGGCGACCGCCGTAGGTTTAGGTCGGCCTACGTTGTATAGCCTGGCTGCAGGATATGGTGAGCAGGGGGCTCGACGAGCCATTGAGATTCTACGACAGGAGATAGAGTCCAATATGATATTTTTGGGAGTCAGGAATCTAAAGGAGCTAGGACCACATCTTTTGAATACTGCTAGATTGGAGAGAGACGTGGTTGGGTCAGTGAAGTTGTAATATACCGGACTATAGCAACATACTACCCCGGTTTTTAAGGGCTCGTACAATACAATCAACTAACAATGTTAGTTCTGTTTGAAGGATTCTTTATGTTCATGACAACACTAGTAATCCAAATCCTTAACTTTGGTAAATCAACCCCACGCCCGTTATCGGTCTTCCCCCGAACCCCGCATGGGGCTTCTTTAGTGTATGTGTATGTCTATCACCGTCTCAACATTTTCTTGCTGCGTACCATCTCCTGAAACGTTTTAACTGAACTACCTTGAGGATGAGCAACCAAATTGATATTCTTCTCTACGGCCTAGGAGCGTAAGTCCTCGACTCCTTCTACTTAATACTGCTTCACTGACAGTCCATAACAGCATTGGCTCCTTCTACGCCTTCATCTTAACCCGCAATGACCGAGTCCGTCTAACTGTAGTAGCGCGGTCAAACTACGACGCGGTTAAGGGAGACGTATGTATATCGATCTGTCAGATGTCAGACTAATCGGGCGTAAACCGTTACTGACAATCTCCTGTCCGTAGGGTATATTCCTCGACAGCGGAAACCATGGACAGCACAGATTCCGCCCTCACCAAGGTAATATATCCCTTGTCTACATACATACGCCAAAAAGTCTAACAACTTTAGTCATAAAATCCCTCGACGAAGTATCCGGTCCATTTGACTACGTCGTCTGCGCGCATAAGGCCATCGACCAAGAGGCAGTGGTAGCCCGACTGCAGCCAGCCGTGAACGAAAGGACAACCATTGTGATCATTCAGAACGGCGTCGGCAATGAGGAGCCATTTAGGAGCACATTTCCCATGTCCTCTATCATCACATGCGTGGTATGATCCTCTTCAGCGATATGCTCTGTATGCGGTACTTACGAATCAAAGACCTGGGTAGGAGCGACGCAAACATCACCGGGGACGGTTAAACATACCAAGTCAGAAGATATGCAGATTGGTCTATTCCCCAACACATCGGTAGATGAAACACTTGAGCGGACTCGGTTGAATACTTTCGCTTCGTTGTTAGAGGGAGGTGGAACTAAGTTCCAGGTTCTGGAGGATATGCAACGCCAGCGCTGGGAGAAGGTCGTCTGGAATGCGGCTTGGAATCCTATCACTACTTTAACCTTGCTCGATACGCAATCTTGGCTCCATTCCAGTAAGGATGCGACGCCCTTAACACGTCGTTTGATGCGGGAGGTTATCGATGTTGGTCGCAGGTGTGGTGTGCCGCTGGAGTATGGGCTTGTTGATGAGCTGATGGACAGGATCAACTCTTTGCCTGGAGTCGGGAGTAGCATGCAGACAGATTATAAGAATGGTAGGCCCATGGAGGTGGATGTTATCTTGGGATTTCCGGCTAGGAAGGCGAAGGAGTTTGGTATGGAGACACCGGTTTTGGATACGATTCATGCGCTGGTGCGAGCTGTGGATGGTCGTGTGAGGGCTGCCTTATAGATGGTTATATTACATATGGGTTTCTCTATGATCGTTTGATTGAGAGGCTTTGGAACTTTTACGTATAGCAGTATCTGACAGAACGTAACAAGCAATGTAAAGTTCGGCACTTGATCATTTTCTGGGAGATCATAGGTACCACAATCGACCCATATGACTACACTTAGACAAGCTTGATACGCCTACTAATTTGGAGCAAGACTTCCAAGGTAGAACTTGGATATCAGCTCACAACGAGTCAGCTTGGCTACGTTGCAGCCCGACCCATCAGAGAAGCATGATAAAGCATACGCTGCCAGCTTGCCAAACCAGACCCCCACGCACTCCCCACGGAATATACCAGACCAGGATCTAGGAAAAGACAACCCAGCATGTTAGCTCAAGGCTTCTTACCCACGGTCATAATGCGGAGAACAACCCACTTCCCCAGATTCTAGCGCCTAAGACACCCCCACGTACTTGGCTCAAGGATGGGGACTAAACGTCACTGCCGGCAGATCAGCGTCTACTAGCACTATAGAGCTTGTTAGCAGCAGGTGGGGAAGATTAAAGTCCAATATCCCTTAGACAGACTTGATCTCCGTAGAGGAAACAGAACTGGACACCATAGAGCATCGCAATGACTGCAGAACAGCCAACCCCAGCTCCTACTCAACCAGCTAACCAAGGGAACAAACCCTCAATGATGCACGTCGAGGCAATCACTGGGCAGCCTGGTAAGATCCGGAATGGTGACACTGCCTTGGCGCTCTTCGAGAATTTCGATGAGCTGCACGAAGATGTCGACCCGGGGGAGCTAAAGCGGCTTGTTCGCAAGATTGATTTTATGATTCTGCCCTTTTTGGCTGTTTGCTATGCGTTTTACTATGTGAGTTTTCTTTCATCCGGTTGGTTAAGTTTCTAATGGTGTTAGATTGACAAAACTACTCTTTCATATGCGGCCATTTTTGGCATTAATGAAGATCTGGGTCTATCGGGAGAGCAGTATTCGTGGTTATCCAGTGTATTCTATTTCGGGTTCCTGGTAAGATACACTATTATCCTAACTATCCAGTGTTAGACGCCCATGAAGAGCTTTAGCTGCGAGACACCCCTTCCTACCGGCACATCCTGACTATCTCCAAAATACCCACGCTGACCCCATACTACCCTAGGTCTGGGCCCTTCCTACCAACTTCTTGATGCAAAAGTTCCCTGTGGGCAAGTATTTAGGTGCCAACATCTTCCTCTGGGGACTCTTCCTCATGCTCCAAGGTACTTTTGCCCTCTCACACGACAGTTGCAAATTTTCTACTAATATCCACAGCGGCCGCAAAGAACTTCGTGCAACTCGCCGTGCTCCGCGTAATCTCCGGCGCAGCAGAAGCATGCAGGTACATATCCTTCCCACCAGATTTACCCAGAAACAGAAGTCTAATGTCCCAGCGACCCTGCCTTCATGCTCATCACAAGCATGTGGTACACGCGCCGCCAACAACCCATCCGGATCGGACTCTGGTATACCGCCAACGGCTTCGGCATCGCCCTCGGCGGTCTCCTCGGCTACGGCATCGGACACATCAAAGGCGCCCTCTCCTCCTGGAAATACGAGTTCCTGATCATCGGGGCCCTATGCTCTATCTGGGGCATAGTAATAGTCATCTTCTTGCCCGACTCCCCGGTGACAACGCGGTACCTATCGCCCCGAGAGAAACGCCTCGCTGTAGAACGGCTGCGAGAGAACCAGACCGGCGTCGAGAATAAGACTCTCAAGCCTGCGCAGATATATGAGGCTTTCCTGGACTGGAAGGTCTGGGTGTTTCTCCTCCTGGGATTATCAGGGAATATCCCCAACGGGGGGATTTCGAATTTCGGGACGTTGATTCTAAAGGGATTCGGGTTTTCTACTTGTATGCGTTAGACAATTCCTTCGACAACACCTTTTCAATTGGTTAGACACTGATACTGATGCTGATTCTGATGATGCTGATGATTTGGGGAAATAATGCAGTGGTAACAACCCTTATGCAAATACCCTACGGAGCCTTCATAGCCCTCATGATCCTCTTCAGCATCTGGCTGAACGACCGCCTCCCGCAGAACAACCGCTGTTACGTGACCATCCTATTCCTCCTCCCCAATCTCGCCGGCTCCTTTGGGCTCTGCTACCTGCCCGAATCAAACAAGGTCGGCCGTCTCATCTGCTACTATCTAACCGGGTCCTACAACGCCTCTTTCGTGCTCATTCTCTCCATCCTCACGGCCAATGTCGCCGGCCACACCAAGAAAGTCGTCACAAGCGCCATGATCTTCATCGGTGTGTGCGCCGGCAATATCGCCGGCCCGTTCTTCTATAAAGAGGCGCAGGCGCCGCGCTATCCGCTGGGAATTTGGTCGATGATTGTGTCTCATTTCGTGGAGATCGTGCTGGTGGTTGTATTGCGGACGGCGCTGGCCTGGGAGAATCGGAGACGGGATCGGTTACAGGGAATTGGGCCCGGTGGGGAGGGTGAGGAGGCGAGGCAATGGGAGATGGATCGGACGGCGTTTAGTGATCTGACGGATAAGGAGAACTTGAACTTTAGATATGTTTACTAGATTCGGGGCCTTTCGCTTGTTTTGGTGTGGTTCTTCGGGATGTTCTGGTTCTCATTAGGGCTGGGTGAGAATTGGGGTTCGGACTTGTTTCCGATGGGCTTTGGCGGGGGTGGGTTTTCCGAGTAGCCTTGTAACAAGGCTGTTATTGAATCGGCTAATCTGGGCTCGATTTTGGCAATGGTGTATTGAGGGGAGCACTGCGCTTCCCCCGTATTTCTCCACGAATAGAGCTCCATATCTAGAACGTGGGATGGCAGGGCTTCAGAGTACCTTGCAACGGACCCCCACGCGGGGAAGTATGCAGTATGTGTAAATGTGTACTCGATTGTATATATAGCTCTACGGAAATGACGATACAGAAGTCATAATTATCCATCTGTCTCGCTAGGAAACCAGCAATGGCCAGAATCAAGTCAATTGAGTACTTCCGCGTTAAGCCTCGATGGCTCTTCGTCAAGGTCACCGATGAACAGGGCCGGTTCGGCTGGGGTGAGGGCACTTTAGAAGGCCACACACAGGCTGTGGAGGGAGCTTTGGATGAGCTCATTGCAAGGCTAGTGGGTTATGAAGCTGAGTATGTCCCATCCTACCGTCGATATTTTGGGTCCATCCTCCCTAGACAGTACTAATCAATGACAGTGATATTGAGCATATCTGGCAGACGGCTTGGCGACTGGGTTTCTACCGCGGTGGGCCTGTGTTTATGTCGGCACTTTCCGGAATAGATATTGCGCTTTGGGATTTGAAGGGCCATGTGCTTGGTGTACCAGTTTACCAACTGCTGGGCGGAAAAGTGAGACAGAAGATTCAGGTCTATGCGTGGATCGGAGGTGATCGGCCCAGTGATGTGGAAGCCGCAGCGTATGGGTTATGTTCCCCCCTGTGCAGATACCGGTATATACTAAGCTTCAGATAGGAAAGCGCGCATCGCCCAAGGACTCAAGTGCGTCAAGATGAATGCAACGGAAGATGTCAACTGGCTAGATTCACCCTCAGCTGTGGACTCTTGTGTTGAGCGATTGAAGCAGGTCAAGGCATTGGGCCTCGACGCAGGATTAGATTTCCACGGCCGACTACACAAGCCTATGGCTAAGCAACTAGCGAAAGCATTGGAGCCATATCGTCCGTTGTTCATTGAGGAACCACTACTTTGCGAACATCCCGAAGCGCTCAAGCAACTCTCCGATCTGACAACGATCCCTATTGCGTTCGGAGAACGATTGTATACACGGTGGGATGCGAAGAGGTTTCTGGAAGACGCGTCTGTGGATGTCTTGCAGCCGGATATTGCGCATGCCGGCGGTATTTCAGAGACGAAGCGGATCGCTACCATGGCCGAGACGTACGATGTGGCGATCGCACCACATTGTCCGTTGGGGCCCATCGCGCTGGCGGCGTCTATTCAGGTTGCTTTGTCTACGCCCAATTTCGTTATCCAGGAGATGTCGTTAGGGATGCATTATAACGTGGAAGCGGGGGATATTGACTTGAATAGCTATCTAGTGGATAAGTCGGTCTTTGATATTAATGAGGGATATGTGAAAGCACCGTCCGGTGTCGGGTTAGGGATTGAGATCGATGAGGCCATGGTCAGGAGAATTAGTGCTGAGACGGAACCATGGCTTCCAAAGGAGTTTTACGGTCCGGATGGTGGCATTCGAGAGTGGTGATCTGGTTGTATGTAGCTTGGTAGGGTAGAGCTGATAACCTAATGTCTTGTACGCGGAATGTCTATAGGGCTGACTGTTCACCACCATCTAGACAAGCTCCACGCGCACGATGCGGGGGCGTGGGGGTTCACATAACAGATATTCGAGGGGAAATCTGGTATGAGAAATAAGCAGTTATAAATAGTCGGCTTGCTACGCGCAACTTTGCTGGGATGGTAATAGTCAGCCATTAGTGTGCTGCATCATTCACCATAATGGATCTCTTCTCGCTCACGGGTAGAACCGCCCTTGTTACGGGTGGAACTCGAGGCATTGGACAGCAGATGGCTATTGCTATGGCTGAAGCTGGTGCGGATATCATTCTGGTTCAGGTAAATTGATATCTCCTATCAGTCAAGCAACAACAACTCCAGAGATCTGACTCTTCCGGTATGTAGAGAGACACTAGCAATCAAGACACGAGGCAAAGGATCGAAGGTTTAGGGCGCAATGCAACGATTTACACAGCCGATCTATCTTCTCGGGAGTCTGTCTCTTCATTAGTATCGACCGTCTTGAAGAATGGGCATGATATCGACATCCTTCTCAACTGCGCGGGGATTCAACGGCGACACCCGAGTCATGTTTTTCCGGATGGTGACTGGGACGAGGTATGTTGCTTTCCCGTAGCTGAAGAGTGATATGCATATTCAACTCTAACGGTGGCAGGTCCTCCAAGTCAATCTTTCCACCATCTTCACCCTCTGCCGGGATATCGGCGCCTATATGCTCACCCGGACCCCGGATTCCTCCGGTCACCGCGGAAATATCATCAACATCGCCTCTCTTGTTTCATTCCAAGGTGGATTGACCGTGCCGGCTTACGCAGCCGCAAAAGGTGGCGTGGCGCAATTGACAAAGGCGCTATCCAATGAATGGGCCGCCAAAGGAATCAACGTTAACGCGATTGCCCCCGGTTATGTAGCTACGGACATGAACACGGCATTGTTGCAAGACCCTGAGCGGTCGGCCAGTATCCTGGCGAGAATCCCCGCGGGACGATGGGCAACCCCGGAGGATTTCAAGGGAGCGACGATATTCTTGGCGAGTCGAGCGAGTGGATATGTCTCTGGTGAGATTTTGACGGTCGATGGTGGGTGGATGGGGAGGTGATCAGGGTGTGTTTTGTACACTTGGGGTGACAATAAATACATAGTGGAATTTTAATCGGGGAGCAATCCCCGATTAAAATCTAATGGCTCAACTTGGTAGAGTTATTGGTTGATCGGAGGTGTTTTGCTCGAGCTAAACCGACCATTGTATAATTGTCATCTATATAGGTCGTCCGTACCGTGGTAATGCTGTCTCTTAGTGCTGATTAGTCCGGTATACTTCGCAGGCCGAAGTTTAGTCAATGAATCATGGGGTACGGGGCTGGTACCGGCTCTTGGCCAGAAGGACACCGTAATGACTGGTCACTGGAGAGTATCTATCAGTTGCTACATTGTGTAAATAGTAGTACTACTATGTACTACAAAGGTACCTGCCCAGGATTCACACTCTCTTGTTCTTTTCAGGGATTCGATATTGCGTGCTGCAGCGATCTGTATGATGACGTATGAGGATCGGCAACTGCTGGAGGGGAAATTCCTGGAATATGCACAGAAGATATCGTGCTGTTTTCATACCAACAGACTGGTCCAATCAGTCCCCCATGAGGTTGGAGGAGATTCTGAGGAAGAAAAAAGATCCAATGAAGGCAATGGGGGTCGAAGGAGAAAGGGTGATGACTGGATTCAATGGGAAAATCTACGATCCACCCCAATGCGGTCTAGACTCCCGGATCCGTAACGCGTAATGGTAATACCCAAATTCATTCATTCCTTCTCTCTTTCTTTTCCCTTCATGAAGAACCTCTCCTTTTCTTGACTCTTTTTCCTTCTGGTTCTGAACCAGATTTCGCTTTCTTTCCCTCTCATCAGTCATCTAGGATTTTTCTGGGTGAGAAAGAGATTTGAGACTTTCAATTTAAACCCCTCCCCGCCACGCGTCTCTGCTCTCGTCAGCTTAATTTCGTCCATCCCTTTGCCTGATATTTTTAACTACTGCACAGATTGATCCAAACCCTCGGGTGTAACGAACTTCTCACCTCCACCAATTGCCTGGCGCGCTCCCCGCGCTGTCGGGGGATACACAGCACTTGATACCTAGGCTCACGACGCAAGCAAGCGCTCTTTGATTACTCTTACTATAATTGCTTTTTCCTTACTTGTCCATTCGGCGAGTTTCTCCGCAAGGCCAACGTGATTGCAACGATCTACCCTCGGCAGCAGCTGCTCGTCGCCCCATTTGTGGTGTGCACACATACACCCTTACCGCCATGCCGACCTCTAACACCTCGTCCCCCGTCAAGCGCCCCGGTCTGGGTCGTCGCGCAGTCTCCTCACACGCCGTCGTCACGCGATCGACATCCACCCAAAACGAACTGGCCAACTCCAACGCCGCCCACCAACAATCCTCCAAACTCTCTCACCGGCAGCATCGTGCCCATATCGTCGGCGGTGGCCATCGCAACCACCATCGTAATCCGTCTTTTGGCAAAAACCTGAATAAACAGCTCCAAAGACATCTTTCTCACACTCAAATTGACTCGGAAAGACCCGTTCGTCATCATCAGCGCAAGAAGTCCGCTCCTACGACTCCCGCTGCTGTCACACCCGCCGCAAGCCCGCGTGGGACGCACCACGTCCGTTGGGATGGAGCCTTGGGCGAGAGTGACCAAACCACTACTTCGATGAAAAAAAACAACTCAAGCCCTGCGCTTCGCCGAAATAGCAGCAGCGTCATAGGCAAGGTAGGGAAAACGGCCCTGGTCACCGATCGCCCACAGACCAGCTCAGGCAAGAAGAAAACTGTGGGCTTCGAATTGGCCGATTCCGACGACAACGACGACGGGGACTGGGAGGATACCACTCAGTCGCCGGAGAGCACTAGGCGCAGCTCCGTCGCTCAATCTAAGGATAGTGTGGAGAATACGGCGGTATTGGTGGATCCCTTGACATTCGTTAAGCGTTCTTATCCACAGTTTCCTCGGTCGACCAGCCTTCCCGAGTCGAGCCTGAATAATTTTGGTCACAACAACCCTTTACCGGACGACGACAGTGACGACGAGCCCAGCGAAAACGGTGATACACAACAACAACAACACCCACCAAAGACCGAAGAGCGGGAAGAAAGTAGTCGCGCTACTGACCACGGTGATATTGCATCTCGCCTGCTGACTCCCGCGCACTCTGCTAAAGCACCGCCCGCCATGTCCTCCATATCGGCCACAGCGAAGCCAGCGACAGT